AATATTGTAAGGAATTAACTAAATAAATATTAACAACATAACGTGAGATTGTACTATGTGCATTAATAACAGAAAAAAAGCGAAAAATTATTATTCGCTCGCATTTGAAAAATTTGAAATAACTGTACAATCTGTTGTATAATAAAAATTTTTTCAAAACCTTTGAGACAGTAGAAGCTTGAAGAGTCATGGAAATATTGGCAAATGAGTTCTTCGTTTTACTTACGCAGCTTAGTTTCTAACCTTTGCACAATTAAAACAGAATCTTTCGAAAAGTTACTACTTATATTTAGGATGTTCGAATAAGTGGGAAATGATCAATTCGAAAAAATAAATCGACAAGCTTAGAAACGTGAAGAACGTTTTAGGTTAGAAATAATAATGTATGTATGTACACTACCGGCCAAAAGTTTGGAATCCAGAAAAATGTCAGCGACTTTGAGAATTTTTTATCATTCGAATCAATTGATATGAGATAAATTGATAAAAGTAGAATTGAGGTAAACTTCGGATCTATAAAAAATTAGCAGCAGATTTAGTATCGATGAAAAGTGGGAGGTGATTCCAAACTTTTGGCCGGTAGTGTACGTCCGGGAGCAATAATTGTACAAAGCAGATTTTTAATAGTCAGATTACGTTATTATTCTTATTTGTTAATATTATGTATAACAGGCGCAAATAAAAATTGGGATCTTGAAAACAAGAAAAACTTTACTATTCTAATTCTCCTGCGTATACCCTGCTCGTACGACTACAATTTTATGCACATAGCAAAACAAAGTAGAATAAACATTATTGACATTTTCAAATTCTCAATGAATCTTATTATTTAGATTTTCTCGTGTAGTTACGTAACTCAATCAAGAAAGCGTTTATAAATATGTGAAAAGTACGTTCATAATGTAACTACAACTTCATAGTTATAAATATATACATATTTTATGAAAATAGTATAAATCTTTTTCATTTATAAATTGTAAATATATCGTTTGATGGTAAAATAATAAACTTCATTAATGGAAATAATTTGCGTAAATCGGAAAAAAATTATTGACATGAATTCAGAAAGAATGTCTCATACAGGTCACAGATAGCCAACGCTTTCTGAACTATCCACAAGTCCGCCGTTCGAGAGCTAAAATATTTTTAGATACCCAAGCATGAGGACGACTAATACGTAATCGAGCACTTCATTTTTTCTGTGTTGTAGGTTGAATGCTACATAGAAAGTAGTTATTGAAATTATTTTCTTTCCGACAGAATCAGCTTTGATTTCTAAAATTTTTCTCTTAGAACAACTATGCATTTACATGCATCTACGTACACGTACATACATATCGTATCGTGTCTCGAATTATAGACGCACGCGCGCGCGCTCTTGTACCTACGTCTTTCATGAGAAAAACGAAAAATTGGAGTCTGTAGACCATGTGTTCCCTAGATCCCGAACAGAGACGTTGCTCGGCTTGATGATTGATAATATAAAAGGTATTTAACACGTTCTTCTTTCCGAGCTTCTCCTTTCTTTCATTTGTGTTCAAACAAAAATGTAACTCACACTTTGACACTATTTAACAACGTTTTAAACGTGTTCACGTGTCATCCTCTTTCCACGAGTGTCTCATGTCTTTAATCGGACTAATTGTGAATTCATCAAACCTTTCAAGACAAATTCATTTAGTAATCAAACGAACTAACCTCCAAACTGAACAAAACAAAGATTTTGATAGTTTTCCAATTTTAATAAAAAAATTAGTCCACTGCTAATTATTATCAATTTTCTTCCACGAGAAACTGTGAAAACGCATTTCTTTCTTCGCTGATAACTCGGGAATGACGAGAAATGTAAAGACACGTTCGTAGAAACGTTAAAATACAAATCGAGTGTTTTTTTTTTTTTATGTCATGCGACAGTTTTTGGGGGGGTTTTAAATGTTCGTTCGACAAAATTCATTTGTTGCTGATTGAACATGATGCGCAGATTGCATTCCGAGTGTTGCAATTACATCGTAGAAATTACATTATAGGGAGGAATACACGAATAGATAAAATTTCAATACCTTTCCTTGAATTATAGTACACATTGAGTAGAGAACGATCTTCTTAAGAGAGTTTTACACAATTATCTTCAGTACCACAGAAATTATAACTAAACTGACCAGATATTCTGAAGGCAAATTCGTGACATTTTCGAAAAAGGATATATCTCGTAGCTGCAGTGAAATAAAAATGTTATATTCAACGAATTAGTAAAAATAAACAAATCAAACTCTCTACATTTTTGTTATTAAATGTAATGATTGCTTAATACTTAAGCAGCTAATACTTAAACAGTGGTTACACGTATTCATTTGAAGAAGAAATCGCCTTCGATAATTCGTTATTATTTAAAATTTCTTCATAAGACTGTAATATCTAATCTAAAGTATCTAATCCTAATTGACTTTCTTCACTGTTCAAAGTTTACTTATTACTGAAGAAACTCTTTCAACCGGTGCATTTCTATCAGGGACACGTAAAAAATATTCGATTACTTTAATTGTGTACTTTTTTTGTACACTTAGAGTTGTCTTTCTTAAAATCAGTAGAATACTCAGTACAAAATTGAAATCAGTACATCTGCTCACTTTAATTATTACACAAACAGGACTTTTTGTGAATCAAACAAGACGAACAGGCCATTCGTCAAATCCTACATGTTTCACTATTGAAAATTCATCAAATGTATGAATAACGTTGACCACTTAGTCAACCCTTTATGGGCCGAATATTTTTCTTGACTGTAAAAGAATTTATGTAACGTAAAATTAGCAAATATCGACCTATAAATACAGAATAACAGTGAATTCAGCAGTTTCGACAATTTTATCATAACGAATACATATTGTAACTTTGAAGTAACAACGGTTATCAAGAAAGTTACTGGTTAATAAGGAGACATTGTACAACAAGACGTTTATGCCATTTTGTGGAAGAAAGTTCAATTATTTAATAAAATATCGATATATTAGTATGTGACTTGAAAGTTACACGGGCCCATAGAGGGTTAAACAGGTTTTGTCATCGAATTGGTGATAGGTATTATTATTATTGCAAATTATTAAGCCCTCTGAAAGTGTACGCATTGCATAACAAGAAAAGATAAGACAAAAAACGAGCTACACATTTTTAATCCTTTTCCCTTCTTCCCCTTTTCCTAATAGTTTCCTAAAAGAAATTCATCGTGCATGTGTATCTTGCATTTTTCTTCATATCTAATTTTGTCCTCTTTTCTTTACCAATCGTCTTTCCTCTTTCTTACACTCACATTGGGTTATTTTTTAGCGCGATATAATAGTTGTGCGTCTATGATTTTACCGAGGGGAATCCGAAATATCTTGGAGCGTGTGTGTTACGTGTGTAGATAAGAGCAATAAGCCACGCCAAGAAGAGAGTGAAACGGGAAAAGGAGAGAAGGATAGAACGTAACATGAAGCAGTGGCTTCGGACGGAAATAGAAAAGCGGCACGAAAGTCATTTAGTGCCGGCAAACGTGAAACTCCCCCAGTTCCAAATACTATTGCCCGATTTCAATTCTGTGCACAAATAAGATGACTCGCATTCCAATGAGGTCCTCCCTGAGAAGCCGAGATTCCAATTCAACATCGACCGATACAGATCCGAAAAAACGCATAAAGAACTGTTGCCGAAAATTGGTCGCGTTTATGTGCACTCAGGTCGGTGTTGGCGGACTCGTGGTCGGTTACGCCATAATAGGTGCATTGGGCTTCATGATGATCGAGACTCAAGGGCAAATTCCCTCAACGGTCTGCATCCGAGGATTAATCAGAAAACAGTATGCCGAGGAGCTGTGGTTCAGCACCGCCAGCAATCAAACTGTAAACGTGTTCGATAGAAGAACGTTTCACATGGTGTCTAACCGAATCCTGCGCCGTTACCAAGACGACTTTACCAGTAACTATGGGAAAGAAAATTGTAGCGGTCTGACAGCGACCGATCTTTGGTCCTTCCCAGCAGCCATGATGTTTTGTCTTTCTGTGTTCACGATGATTGGTTACGGGACTCTAGTGCCGCAAACTGCATGGGGAAAAGCTGTCACCGTTATTTACGCTGTGTTGGGCATCCCTCTTTATGTCCTGTATTTCCTTAACATGGGGAAGATATTGGCGCAAACGTTTCGTTCGCTGTACACATGGTTATACGAATGCACGGGCAAACGAAAGCCTGGACAAAGAATCACGGTACCGTCGACAGCTTGCCTTTGGGTGATCTTTGGATACGTCTTGGCTGGTTCCATAATGTTCGCCGAGTGGGAAGGATGGAATTACTTAGACAGTGCCTACTTTTGCGTGACATCGCTGTGCAAGATTGGAGTGGGTGATCTTGTTCCTGGTTGGACGCACGGGGATTTAACAGCTGACAGCCAGACGAAATTAATTATCAATTTTGTGTACTTGTTACTTGGTATGGGGCTTATCGCTATGTGTTACGACTTAATGAAGGAAGACGTTTATGTCAAGGCTAGGGAAATGAAAGCGCAAATCCTACAGATCGTGGATGTTACTCATTACCAGGTAGAAATGTGCTGTAAACTGGAAGTGCTAGATTAACGCAACTTTAATGAATCTCTGCCTGCACCCCACCAACACTAATCATATGTACATTGTATGTACGTCGTATATTAACATAAAATCTATGATACTGCAAATTCCAAAATATTCGTTTGTATTTTTGTATTCCAATTTCGTTCAGTAAAACAAATACAAGTTCCAGAGGTATATAATTTTAATAATATAGTCTGATTTATGTATACAGCCCTGTAACACTTTAACGAATATTCCTTTTTCCCTTTGAATGTTTTTACAATTGTTCAGATTAAGATTTTACATTTACATAAGTCAAAAATATTGTTTCTGAATGTCATTATCACACAACGTTATAAGTATGTGAAGCTTTGGTGCGAATAAAACACTATTATAGATTGGCAAGTAAATAAAGCTACAAGAATTGGACTGATATGATAATGTTAGTATTGTTACTGCCACAAAGTAAGTTGTGAATTTATGTAAATATTACATAATTTAAATGGACGATGATGCATATACCTTAAGCAACAAAGTATAATCAGCAGAAGAAATACGATCAGATGAAGTTAAGTATGTTCCGAATGTTTAAACAATGAATTAATAGAAATGTGAACAGATGGGAATTCAAAACCTCAATACAAGCCGTATGAAGGATTCCACAACTTCGTTTGGTTCCTGTTAAAGCATGTACGAGTAGTGTTCCGACAAGTCTAAATATTATCGTATCAACTAGTGCTGGGCGCAGACGAGGTATAGTCGGTGGAAGCGATATACACTGCCACTTATGGAAGTATGGACACTTCGCCAAAGGAGGATTTTTTGATGAAAATCAAACTATGCATTATTTATGCATAATTCGTTAATTTTATGTTCATCGAACAAAGAACTGACCAAAAATAAAATTATATCGTATTAAGCAATTTCTGCATTTATTTTTTCTTTTAATTTTCAAGTGTCCATACTTCCATGAGCGGTAGCGCACATAGTGAGGTCGTAAAATCAGACAAACATCAAAGTGCACGTAATCCAAGTGTCAAAACAGCAATTCCATAGAAATAAGGAGCTCAAATCTCGCTCAGGATTGCTCTGTTGCTTCTTCTATTGGGATGTATTTAAAAAATTTGTCTGCGCCTTAATCGTTCACAGCTGTTTAATACCGTATGTCTTAACACTTTACCGACCGGGGAGTCTATTAACCCTTTAACCTATAACAACGTGTCAGACTCGTGGCAGAGATTCTGGTGAAGATGTGAGAAAAATAGTTATATTAGTAAGAAAAATTCATCGTGATCTTAGATTTCGTTTGAATTCGTAAGACTGAGGATTGCTAAATGTAATTAATCTGTAACAGATTAGCTTTTGTTACCCGATACAGCACTAAAACAGTAAATGGCTGACGCTTAGATGCACAGTCAGAAAAGAAATCATAGGTTAAGGGGTTAATCGGCTTTTTACTGCCAACGTTTATCGCCCTTTAATGTTATTGAATTTAATTACCCTGTAACAAGAGAAAGCGAACGATATAGTAAGTACTCTCACGAATTTCGATTTAAAATTTGTATAGTGCAACGACAGTCGAAACCGAGCCGGTGTTAACGATGTATCCGCGCCCGAATGGGCCGGTCGGGAGTGCGTAGTAAGTTCAACCACGAGCGGTCGGTAAAGTGTTAAATGAAAGATTGTAAGCAGAAATGTTTAAATATCAATTCACAAATAACATATGGCCTAATGTTTTCATTTATGACCTCGCTCCATCGCTCCTACCAATTATACAGGGTAATTCTTATAAAGTGACCGAATGAGTTTTCTCCAAAATGGAAAGAGGCACGAAAAAATCGATCAAACGAGAAATGTTCTGTTCCAGGGGGGAAATCTTTTGATGTATGCGATGGCGTTGTAGGTGGAGAGATCTAGGTGATCTCAAGGTCAACTGAATTTTTTTAATGGGACCCTATATTTTCTCCTCTATAGTCTGATAGTGTTCTGCGTGATGAGTTCATCAACCACGGCACAAGTTCATCTAAGGTCATGCAAGGTCACACAGAGCCAAAAACTTTAACTATTATGCTTTGGGAAGATAACGTATTTATTAGTGCGTTATTATAATACATCAAATGCTAAAGTTTCCATTGCGAATTATCGAATTAATTCGTGCCATTCCAGCTGAAGTTATCATGAGAGCTGTAAACTCTTTTTCAAATAGAATTAATCTTTGCAAACAAGCGGAAGGCAACAATTTTGAACATTTTATGTCATAACGCGTTAATAAACACGTTATGTTCCCGAAGCATAAAAGTTCGAGCTTTTGACACTGTGTGACATAGCATGACCTTGGATGAACACTATCAGACTGTAAGGGAAAAAATATAGGGTCCCGTTTAAAAAAATTCAATTGGCCTTGAGATCATCCAGACGCCTCCACCTACAACACCACAGCATACATCAAAAGATTTCCCCCCTGGAACAGAACATTTCTCGATCGATCGATTTTTCCGTATCCCTTTCCATTTTGGAGAAAACGAATCGGTCACTTTATAAGAATCACCCTGTATAGGATAGACCAGAGCCTATCTCGAAGTTCCTCTATGTGAAGTGGTCAGACAAACTCGAGCACGGAGCAACATTCGAGCAGTAAGTCACGCCGACTCGAGCAACAATCCTGTAGAGGGATACTATATACAGGGTGTTTCGTAAATGCATGCCAATACTTGAGCGGGTAAATCTGCAAACTAAAACAAGTAAAAAATGTCACATGGAGTTATGAATGATTGAAGAAAATGTCCCAAGCCTTAGTATGTCTCGACCTTATCTAATGTTTATAAATAATATCCATCGATAGAAGCAGATAAAACTTCGGGCAGTCGGTGCCTTATTCTCGCGAATTAATTAGTGTTCCAAAAATTGTGTATGCAACGCAAGTGAATAATGTGCAAGATCAGCAAGAAAGGATAGAAAATGGATTTCAGACTATTCGAAGGATACCTGGTATTTTCCAGCGAATGCGGAACTCACTGCTACAGCGTGCAGTAGCGTGTGTTGAGTAGCGTTTTCTTTAATTATCCGTAACTCGAAAACGAAGATACATATATCGGACATATGTCCGTATGATATTTTTCACTTGTTTTAGTGTGTAGATTTACCCCCTGAAGTATTGACATGCATTTACGAAACACCCTGTAATGTTGCAGCGATCTCTTGGCCTGGAAAAGCAGTAGTGATCAATGATCACTAATCATACGTGCTGAAAAAAGTAACCAAAGGTGTAAAACACCTCACGAACACACCAACACATGCCTACTTTACAAGCTCACTCCCAAGTCAGCAAGAAAGGATAGAAAATGGATTTCAGACTATTCGAAGGATACCTGGTATTTTCCAGCGAGTGCAGAACTCACTGCTACAGCGTGCAGTAGCGTGTGTTGAGTAGCGTTTTCTTTAATTATCCGTAACTCGAAAACGAAAATACATATATCGGACATATGTCCGTATGACATTTTTCACTTGTTTTAGTGTGTAGATTTACCCCCTGAAGTATTGACATGCATTTACGAAACACCCTGTAACGTTGCAGCGATCTCTTGGCCTGAAAAAGCAGTAGTGATCAATGATCACTAATCATACGTGTTGAAAAAAGTAACCGAAGGTGTAAAACACCTCACGAACACACCAACACATGCCTACTTTACAAGCTCACTCCCAAACTACCCTTGTTCTCCACACCATTCACGATTGTCGACGTCACTTGCTCTTAGCTTTATTTGTGTAGTGCTCGCGAGCAACAGTAAGCACTCTTGCTCTCAAAACGTCTGCCTGAGCGGCCCCGGAATACACCAAACATAGGCGATTTAAACCCTTACGCTGTCTAGCCTCTCTACCTCGCACATGGGTCCCATGGTGGGGCAATCTATGTGACACTTCATAAGTCTCACCAATTTTTGTCGAAAGCCTAGAACTAACACAAATTCACAGCGGCGATGGTTCTATGTGAAATGGTATCGTATGCCATCCGCCATCATACAAATCGTACGCTATTTCACATAGAAGCACCGCCGTTGTGCATTTGTGTTAGTCTGAAATTTGGCAAAGATCGATGAGATGGATGTATTGACCGGCAAAGCCAACTTGAAGCTTCATGAGGACCTTAGGGTTTAGGAGTGGAAGATATATGTAGAAGAAATTGTGACGTCTCGCAATTAATCGACTCGTAACAGAATCGTCTAGAAATGAAGTGCAACGAGGTCGGCACATACTGATCGGCAAAGCAACGATGAGGCTTCTGACTCTTCGGTCCTACAGGGCCACCATATGAGGGGAAGTTGCAGTGTAGGTGAATGGTTTAAGACTAAATGGTTTTCAATCAGCTGTCAATAATAAAACAATAGGAAAGTTTCAAGATTATATCGTTTATTAAAGGTATTGCGTGAAAATCGCAGAACGTGAGGAAGTCTCGGCAGTTGACACGTTCCCTGCCACCGAAGCAGCGTGCTATGAATTTTCTGGCGTTAGCGAACGTGTTAAAAACAATCGAGGACTATGACCGCCATCGACAAGGGAAGAGAATAGACAAAATGAGAGGAAGCGAGATGGGCATAGTGCACCAAGCAGCGACAGTTAAGACCCGGCACTTGACATGGATATCGCCTGCGTTGCAATGAATCATCCAATATAAAAAATTTCAATTTTTCTAATACTCATCTTATCTTTATGAAAATAGTACCAATGAATTCGTGATATTCTCCCAAACAAAATGAATCCAAACACGATATAAATCAGAGTAGTTTTACAAAGTGACCAAATTAAATATGTATTCTGAATTTTCAAGTATGCTTTAAGAGCGATCACTGTTAAAGCTAGTCTGATTTATATCGTGTTTAAACTCATTTTCATCGGAAGAACCTCATCAATCCACTGGTACAATTTTTATAAAAATAGAATGAAAATTATAAAAATGACTACTGATCGCGCGCCCGACATTAATGTGGTAGGCTGACTATCAGCGAAGACTTAAGAGTAAGTGTTATAGTCTTACTTTACCACTATTAGCTGATTAATAGTGCGATGTTACAATTTCTCCTGCATCTCCCTCTTTTATATCCTACGTCTCGCTTAAAGTTTCAGCTTTGCTTTGCCGATCTGTAGACTTTACCATCTTTGGTGGTTAGATTGAATATAATTCCTAAACTCACCGCTCCAAATCGTAGAGGGCATAACAAAACCTCTGATATTTTTACACGATCGGTATTTCAGAACGTGAGACACGAATCCCATAAGATAATTGGTCTATCCTATACCACAGACGTGGTACAGAATACACCTAATGTATTTTTGTGTTCAACGTTTTAAAATACCTAAAAAAAATCAGAGTTTTTGTTATGTCCTCTACGGTATAAAACGGTGAGTTTAGGAATTACATACAATCCAACCATCAAAGATGGTAAAATCGACAGATGTAAAAAATCCTCTTTTATTAAATTTGCATTAAATTTGCGGGATTGCGTGGGTAGAATTGTTCAGGATCTTCTGACAGCAGTAGAACACGCGTATGTGATAAATCATCTACTAATAGACAATTGCGTTACTTTCTTATTTGTAATTTCATAGTTACGTTTAATTCCAATTCCAACCACTACTAATGCTGTAATCTTATTCTATACTGAATCGGTAACGTTGGTAGCAACACAAAAATGATAAGGGTCTTCTCGGCCTTAAAGCACCGAACAAAAAATCCCATAATATGCAATGTCTATCCTGACCTCGTTTGTGGTTCTAGAATCCCGGGAACGTGTAACAAAAAAATTCATTGGATGAGTGATCTACTCGTCTGTAGTGATAGGTCTATTCTTTATTTTATCTAGGGTGGCATTTTACAGGTGCTGATTTTACCAACTTCAATGGTTCGGTAAAATATAGTTCCTAAAATCACCACTCTAAATAGTACAAGTCCGAAAAACATTAATTTTTATCAGTCCGTATAACAGAAGTTCTATAAAACGTTAAATCTATGCTACATTTCGCATTGCTCGAAATTCATGAAATACATAGATAGTAGTGAAGATTTATTATATCAAAATAATAGTTTATGTAAAATAGCTGTGAAATTGTGTTGAATATAGTGATAAAATATTATTATAAAACATTTACTAAATAATAATAAAATCTTTAATGAATATTATCGTTAAAAATTACGAATAGTGTTATACAAATGGAATTAGTTCGATATGTTCAACGACCACACTATGTGTTTTTATCAAAGTTTTTAAATTTATTTTCTCATCATTACCCTGTAAAGCATATACATTCGTATACACCTACGACGATTATAAAACAAGAAACAATAAATAAGATACAACAGTTATCTTTACTTAATTTTAGTAATGATTATAGTCTTTCTATCCTAGAAGCTACACTTATTTTTACAGAAGACTTACGTACTACGAAAATTAATGAAAACATTGAACCTATGTATAGTCCATTTGAAAAGGAATTAATTCCTTTAAGAGATGATAATGTGGAAAGTAACACATCTAGACAGGAAGTTCTAAAAAATGCTTCTGTCTTAGAAGAAGAATATTTTGTAGCACCATTGAAAAATATTATAAAAGCATCATGACCATAGTACATATACTGAAAGAGTTAAGTGAGCATTTTATTAGTTTTACAGAACATGGATTTATGTATGGACCTCAAGGTAAAATGTTGCTAAGAAACCTTGAAGAACATTGGTTTTTACATTGTATTACAATGTCACGCTACAATATATTTCTATCAGATGAATTTAACAATACCATAGATTTTATTACAAAAACTGGAATGAGTAACATACCATTTGGATTAGCAACGATAAAAAAATCAAAACACTCTTGGAATCAGAGTGTATCAGTTATACAAAAATTAAATTACCATAAGACTGCTGAAATAGCTATCTTTAACAATAATATAGAAACAGAAGATTTATTTCATAAAATACAGAAGGAACGAAAAATTTGGTGGCGTAGATTAGCACAATGTCCTTCTAGATTTAAACTCACAGAAGCAAAAAAAATAAAAAGTCTTGATACAGTAGATATTAAAGCACAATTTTCATTTGGCAGTATTACTGTAGAAAGAATAACTTGTCATACCGATGTCCAAAAATTGTTCTCTCAGGTGCCTTTTTTCATTCATGGGCTTTAATTTGCACAACATTAAACCTAAGAATTACGACTAAGAATTACTTTCATAGATTATTTTATTTTCAGGTTGATAGTAAAAAAGATTTTGCCCATATACAAATGGTTGAACATATGATGTCTTTAGATTGGGGTACTTTAGCACTACTTTCTGATGCTCATGATACGAATAAATCAACTAAAATGCATATTCATTCCATGTTAGCACCACATAAAGTTGCCTTTCATATAAAAAGATCAAATAATGAAGTGAATGCTCAAAGTGATGATTTAAATCGCTTTGTACTTTACTTAAATAACATGCTGAGAACAAAAGGTCTGAATACTCTATTAACCACCTCGGAACAAATTATAGATACATGCTTGGTTCCATTCATAGTTTTAGTTGATACGACTAGTCTAGAAAATGGCATTGTACATGTAAGGGATAGATCGACAACTCTTAGTGAAGCAGTACATATAACTGATTTAGTAAAGTATCTAATTATGCGATGTTAATCAATGTTTAATTTCATATGAATAAAATTTGTATATCAAAAATTTAAAATACCTTATCAGTACAATTAATTTCTAATTCCTAAAAAATATAACAAATTTTGGAATCACAATGTCATAACCTTCATTTCCAATTATTTTGTATTTAATATTATTTATCAATTTAATGAATGAAATAAGTATTATATATCATTCTTACAATATATCCTTTAAAGATGTAATGTAATAATGCTGAAAAATTAATGACAATAACATTCTAAAATATAAATGTAACCACATGGAATAAAGATGAAAAAATATACAGATATTTAGTGATGTTCAAAGTACAAGAAATTGGAATGCTTTACAATTAATAAAATGTATACTTTGTACACGAGCATTCCTTGATTTGTTAAATATTGCCAAAATTTAGATAAATTCAGTTAATAATATCACTCAAAGGAGCAATATAAATTTTTCAAATCATAATACTTTTAAACAGCTAAGCAGGTAGTTGTAACTTCTTGCCTTTGAGTACTTTGGTAATATAGAGGTAGAAAAAGTCACAATAAAGAACTGTTTGTACTAAACCAGCAACTATAGCAATTAAGTCATAATGATCTTCTGCATAGTAACGATACTCCCAATTTAACAGATACAGGCCCCTATAAGATCCCAAAGCGAAAAGATAATGACTTGTAATACTCTCTGCTTCTCCTGTTTTTGATACCAAAAATAATTGTGGTAATATTGCTACAGATTCCAAATAAATGCTCCATGTCCATAAAACTTCCACAAGTGTGAATTCATGATTGATTAATAACGCCAACGTGAAGGCAGGCAAAATTAAAAATTCAATTCTAAAAATAATCGATAAATGTTATTAGGTAGAATTAAAATCTATAAATATTGTTAGTTTAAAAATTATTTACATATTTATATCTAAAAGTATATACTTTACTGTGAAAAACATACCTAAATGTATCGTGATTATGATCATATGTTGCTTTGAATTTCACATACATTAAAAAGACTGTAGCATAAGATGTTGCAATAAAAATTATTTTCATAAATGTATTGTATGCTGAAATATATGTTGTTATCAAGTCTAAGTAACGTGTTGTATACACAATTGCAAATAAAATTTGCGATTTGCCACTAATACCTGCAAAATAAAAATCGGAAATTATTAAAAATGGACTATTATAATGCAATATAATTACTTTAGTGAAATATAAACTATTTTTAATATAACAAATATGTAAGATATATCAATTGTGTATACCGGCACAGCTTCGTGTATTCCATATTTTGAGAAGAAGGATAATAATCGCAAGAAGATGCGATAAGTCACCTAAGAGTCGAAATATGTTCATATTTTCGGTTGTTGAGAAGTAATTTTTATATGAAGATCGAGAAATACTTCACACACCTAAGTCACAAAGCATACAAAATATGACGTGGCTTTGGCTGCAACATCTGCAGATGGCCGACCGATCAACATCATTTTAGTTATATCTTTAATGTTTTCTGTAAACGTATAAAAAATATAATGTATACAAATATTTTATTCTCAGGTTTCAAATCAATATATGCTTTATCGATTGAAAATGTTTAGAACACAAATACTTATTATAATAAAGTGAATAAAAATAACTTAAACATACGATACTTTTGATATATCATTAATTGTCTACAAATTTATATATTGTTCATGTGATATATTTATTACATGCAATCAATCTTTAAGCAAGAATCATTGCTATGATTATTTCAAAATTATATTATTGCAAATGTTCTACTTTATACTAAATTACTATGTATGTTACTATATTTGAATTTTATTACTAGATTACTAAATTTAAGGCTGATGTTTCTCTCACTCACTGAGTTTCATCGATCTATGCCGAAACCCTGGAACTAATACAGACACATAGCAGCGGTGATTCTATGTGAAATGGCATCATACGCCATTCACCATCGAATGCATAGCATGCCATTTCGCATAGAACCATCATCACTGTGTTTGGTTAGTTCTAGGGTTTCGACAAGTATTGTTGAGAGTCAGCGTTCATATAATACTTCACTGCTTTTCCCTCACTACCTACGATTTTTCATTCAAATAGCTGAAATTCCTGTCCGAATAAATGGATTCAATCATATATTTGCTCATTCTTTTGCAGATGGTAAAGTTACACTACCGCTCAAAAGTATCCGGACACTTACGAATTATATAATAGAAACACATAAATGTTACTTAAACATATAAAATAGTAACCAAAATTAATGTTTATTACTTTCTTATGGGATAAGAGACGTTTTAAATTAAAAATTACTTATTTAGAAACTTACCAATACTATAATAAAATTAAATACGCGTTTCGTCGCGTATCCACCGTTATTAAATAGGACTGCTTGCACTAAACGCGGTAATCTTCTTATTAGTTTTTTCATTATTTCTGTGGTGATTTCTTTCTTTCTGGCGTTTCTTCTAAATACTTCCACAGGTCTGTCTGAGATTTTGAGCACTTAGCACGCACTTTTCTGTCCAATTCATCTCATAGTTTTTCAATGGGGTTGAGGTCTGGAGACTGTGGAGGCCATTTCATAATTTTTAATATGTTTTCATTTTGTAATGCTTCTAAATAATCTCTACACAATTTCGCGGTGTGCTTAGGATCATTGTCTTGCATAAAAACTAATTTTGAATTAGAATAAGGAATTTTCTTCCTTAAAGCAATTTCTCGAATTGAATATCCTTCTTCCGCAAGAGTAAGGATACTACCACGTTTTTCTAATGATAATTCTCGGTTCGAATTCATAACTGAACATAAGAAGAGCAACAGACGAATTAAAGCAAAACGGGTGACTGCATAGCGTCAGCTCCATTCTTATCTCTATCGAGAGAGCATAAGCACATCATCGACGGTTTATCAACACTTAATAAGTATCGGAGAACTCTCTGAAATCGATCTGTGTCATAGCAATTAAGTAAACTAAATCTTTAGACCTTCTCAAACAACGAAATCGTCCCATTAGGTTTCATCTTTATAAAACAGGAATTATATTATTGCATTTTTATTATGTAATTTGTACATAAAAATAAATTTTAGTGCGCTACGATACTTTAATATACATAATAATAATAATTACAAAAAATAAAATGAGTGTAAATATTTTTTCTACTAACTTAAACTACATTTTGTAGAGAATAAGGAAGTGTCCGGATACTTTTGAACGGTAGTGTGTCTATTTGAGAGAAACTGGCGCGAGTTACTCTCGGGTATGAATGTAAGTTGTAGTATGTGCCTATTTGATAGCAACTTCGGGAATTTTTACTCTCAGACAGATACCAGAGAACTCTCAGATAGATACTAGAGAACTCTCCGAGAGCTTACTATCCGACAAAACTGTCAGAACCGTGTCCACTTAAAGTTCGCGTATCCCGACTTTCTGTGTGTAGTTGGAAATAAGAGTGAGGTAGAACAGTGATCATGGATGTGCAGAAACTTGGTGCTCTTATTATTGCTTACAAAATCGTACAAAGAAACACAAAACAATGTGGAAAGAAAAATATTTCTCGTAAAAAGTATAATTGATAAATACATTTAATCTAAGGGAAATACTGAAAAAATAAAAGGTTATTTAAATTAAAATAGACTCTAATGCAAATTTTGTATACCAATAAAAAATGAAAATTGACTTTCTTATGTAAATTAAAAGGTAGTTAAAACATACACATATCGCGTATTACATTATTTTTAAAGTACATACATATACAGTAATGTCTCCACAAGTGTCAGTCCGCAAGGAACCTAAACCTGACAATTGTAGAGTCAGGGACTACGTTTTCGAGCCTCGCGCCCGCCTTTGTAGTTTGCCGAACGTAGGACAAGGACAGCGAATAAAAGATAAGGATAAAACGTGAGTCGAGGCAACTGAAAATGACATCAAACGCGACATAATTTGAACAACATTTACTTATTAACACGTTCACTGTCAGGCCAGGTATTTCACTGTATTGAGATAAAACAGACGCCCTGTATTACATTAGATAGAGGCGGCCTACCGTTTGACTGCCAGTTGGACAATTGGCCTGCCGTTTGACTGATACTTGTAGAATCGGCCTTACATTTTTGTTTTTTTTTTTATACGTGGAGGTAGGCCGACATTAAATTAATTACTCAATAAGTATTAATAAGTAAATGTTGTTC